ACAGCCAGTTGGCCACATAATGTCCAGGTGGCTTTTGAATATCTACAAGCAGGGAGACTCCAAAATCCCTTTGTGAAAACTCTACCAGTGCTGTGTTACTCTCACAGTGAGAAGGCCTTTCCTGATGTTCAGAGGGAAACTCCTGCTTTTCAGTTTGTATACATTAGTCACAGCTAAACAGACTTATTTTTGAGGCTTTTCATGTGGAGCATATCCTTTCTGGAGAACAGCAGTGGAATTTTGTTAATTTGAATTCCATACACCTTTCAGCTAGTCTGCTGTGACTTTTCAATTATGTCAAGGCACGAAGAAAAGCCAATTTCTGCCTGACACCTCCTCTCTGCAAGTATACCAAAAGTCTGCTTCGCCTTCAAGCATAAAGATGCTACATGGTACCCAGGTCACTGATTTCTCCTCACTGAAAATATATTAGTCACAGTAAAAGAGATGTCACCCTGAAGGCTAAAACAATCAGGGGGTTCAGCCTTTTAAAATCTGAGGAAATACAGACTTATGTGTTTACTGGTTTTGAGGGTAATCACTCAATTTATGACAAAAAAATACAGAATTAAAAAACTATTAATGAGGGTGAAAAACAGCCTCTCTTCCAAAATTGTGGAAACCCTCTAAAAGAGTGAAATCAAAGTTCAAAACATTTTCTTCTTCTCAGTCTCTAAATGAAGCCTTTTGAACAAGGTACTGAAGTTCATTTTACTACCTTTTGAGTCTCAAAGTTGCTAATTGTTCTGATCACTGTGTGATGCTGTTTTTGATATAATCCTAAACATTATGGCCTTCACTCTTAAATAAGTTTCAGTCTGAGACAAGACCCACCCCACAGATGTGTGAAGCAGGACAAAGACAGATAAACGAGCTTTCTTCCCAACCTTGCTAATTTACTGGGATTCTGCACAGTGAAAGGAAAGCAAGTCTACTGAGATGTGGTTTATCACTCACCCTAAACAGGAGAGACACCAGATCCAAGTTGGCTCGCATCTGTCTTCATTGAAGCAGAATCTGAAGAAAGCAATAAGGGCTTGAGTCAAACTGGCACTTCTGTCTTTACTTCATTAGGCAAAAAAAGCTGGCCTGATCAGCTATTTGGAAAGCTATTCCAGACTCAGAACTCCTTAACACTCTTTGAGATCGCAATGTTTTGTTCAGAAAACAGGCCTGTTTATGAAGTATTCCCATGGATTAACCTTATGCACCTAACAGAGCTGCCTCAGCTGGGAGGGCCAGGCTTTGCCTCTATACTTGATGAAGACAGACCAGCTCAATGAAGGCTGACACAGAGCAAGATTCAGAGCAGGAATATAGCTTATGTACTATCACAATTGCAAAAAAAAGCTGTCATCTTTCTCCCATGACTGAGCTGTAAACTTATCTTTCTTACAGCAGTCTGGAAAAACTGCAGTGAGGCAACAGGCAAACTGTTTTCTCTGAAAAGTCTGTCCAATTTATGCTGAATTAAGCAGCCATTTTTTTACAACATGATTTTGACAGAGAAACAAAACCAATGTTCTTTGGTTTAAAAGGTGCATGAAAGGACTTTCAAAGGCAAATTGATAAAGCATCCCGTGCAAAAAGCGATAAAAAGAGCAATCTTGCTGAAAGAAATTTAAATATCATATCACAGAGTCAGAAAAATTGATCTACTTAGCTTCAGCACCTGGTTTGAACAAGAATCTTGCAACCATGAATCTTTAGCATTTCTGCATGATGTTTGGTGAGAATGTCTTCAATGGCAGCACTGTTATTGTATCTTCAGAAGTCAAACAGCAGTGTTTACATTGTAAATGTAAATGTTTATAATTTTTATTTTCAGAATTTGAGTAATCAAAATGAGAGAATTTAAGCAGCTAGCATCTGAATTGCAAATTTTTAAGAGTTTCAACACAGCTCTTTGTTAGAAAGGAAATCAGGTAACAGCTTGCATTAGCTGATGCACTAGCTAATAAAAAAAAATCTTTGCATTTCTATCTTTTTTTTCTCCACACACTCTATTCTATCATCCACATTTTATTTTTCTCCTCTTCTGCTGAAAAGGAGCTGTAAGCCTGTTCAACCAGGCAGACACAGAGCAAAAACACTTAAAGTCTTTTAAGAGCCAAGAGATCTGCCGTTAACGCCCTTGGTGAGTAAAGATTTGGTGCTTCTCCACGACTCCCATGCTGGCCACAGCTGACAGGAGGGTTCCAGGAATGTGAGTATCTACAGAATCCATAAACACAAGGCTCAACATCAGTCATCAGCTCCCCCACCTATTCCTCTGGAGGGAACAATTACTTCTGACTGAAGACATTTATTGGGCATAGGATAAAACCTACAAAATCCATTTGGAGCTACTTTATCCCACTTGGTTGTTTCCACTGTTTAGACTCATTAGAAACAGCCATTATTGCCAAACACCTATGCTTACATTAATGCAATTCAGGAATTCATGGCTTAAAGTACACAGTAACATTTAAAAAAAATCTCCACCAAGATGTAACATCAAAACTTGCAACTTCTATTCCACATTAGAAAACGCTTACTACCCACTTATGTCAATCTATTTCCACATATCCTTAGCATTCAGCTGCCATTACTTGTAGCTGTGAAAGGCATCGTTAGCTGCTTGTTAGTAATTAATTATTAATATCTCCAGTCAGTTTTTACCACACCTTTTGCTTAGAAGTCACTCACGGCCAGGAGAGGCTGCTCTGCCTGGCAGGACCGGGGATGCAGCACCAAGCAGGAGAACTGCACCCTTCACTGCTTCCTGCAGCTGGTGCCTTTCCTACATCCCCTCCTGTAGGAGAAATGAGCCTCTCCAGACTCTTTCAGCTAGGGAGGAGGTGAAGTGCCAAATCTCCTGAATGTCTGAGGAGAGGTGGAAAAATGAAGTCCTGGCAGAAGCAGCGAGAAGACAAAGCCTGAGCATGGAGATGAGGGGGAGGCACAGAGCTCAACAAGGCTCGGCATGAGGGTGGCAAACAGAAATGGTGAGAAGGTGATACAAGGAGCAGAGGGGTAAGGAGCTCAAATACAGGCCCATAGCAAGCAGCTGGGGAGGAAACTGGTTCAAGGAACTGGCAAGGAAGAAAGAGCAAGAGGGGGATAATAGGAAAAAAACTACTTGTGACATTTGGAAAACATTACTCCCCATATCCCACATGGTTCCAGAAACTCCACGTTACTCTGCTGCCACCAAATACCTACTCCAAAATTCATGACCAGCCTTTTTCTCCTAGCAAGTCTACAGAGAGGATGAGATCTCCTGCATTTTTTACAGCAGAATCTTCTGTAATAGAATTACATTTTTTGATTCTTCTGCTGAATTATGATGCCAGAGGCTATGATTTAAATCTGTCTTTATCTTGACTTGCTGCTCAAAAGATCTTTAAATTAAAAAAAAAAAAAAAAAAAACAACCAAAAACAACCAAAAAAAGGGACACTATTAATGCAAAAACATCCCCAAAGACTCAAAACTCAAGTAAACCAGGTTTCTTGTGTGACCATAATTCTGCATTCTGATACAGGGTTAATATTCAGACTGGAAAATTATATGTCACATTTACATCAGGAATTTTTCTTACTGAGTAGGTGTTTGAGGGTGGGGACAAAATTAGAAGCCACCTGAATGCTTTCCAAAAGTGGTATCAGAAAGTCATACTAACTTGCAAAACAAACCCAAATTTTCATCAGAATTCACTTTCACTATGGAAACAATAGCAGAAGATGTTATTTCAATCTGATGGCTTCACATCCACACAATTTTGAACATTTTGAATGTTTGTACAAATAGCATCACATTAATTCCTCTCCTTTTTCTTGTGTAGTTACAGTAATGCAGAATTAATGAAGCAAGTGGAAGTCTTGGCAACAGAAGACTTTTGTTTTCAGAGCTGACTTTCAAAATGGTAAGAAAAAATCACCATCCTAACTTTTCCCATTAAATTGTATACTGGCAGGTTCAAATATGCAACCACACTGAAACATTTATTCTCCCAAAATTAGCATTATTACTTTATTTTGTGATTCATTACAATCTGAAAATCCAATAGTCAAAAAAATAAACTAGGCATAATGTTAAAGCATTTTACAAGCAAAATACTTTACTGTTTCCGTTTCAATTTGCATGGGGTGGGATAAGTGTATGGGTTAAAGAATAAAACATACAGAAGAACAATATCATAGAGTTCATCAAACTGCACTGCAGAGTGTTACGTTCCTGTGAGTGAACACCTCTTAAGCAGCTGTTTCTGTCAATGGAAAACCATACACTTCACCACTGACAAGGCTGCCTTCCAATGACCATGATGCATCATGATGGCTGCAAGCCACTGGTTTCTTTTCTTACATTGTAGGTCATTCTCCTTTAAAGAAATTAAAGAGTTAAACAAGCCAGAATGCATCCATCTATGCTCATTTACTTTCTACCTGAACAAAGGACAGCATGGAGAGAGAGAATTTTTAAAGTCAACTTTTGAAACTGGTTATAGTAACCTCTGTCTCTCATATTTTTAGTCTCATGGAGCTAGCAAGCTTAGAGCTTCATCCACACATCTCTGTCTCCTATTACCGTGCATCCAGGTGAAAAACCTGTACTTTTCACTTTGTAGAAACAAACTGCAAGGAGATCATGCTTCTTTCCCACTGTAGTCATATATCTGTTCCTCCAACTGTATAAGTCTGGCTTTAAAGTCTCACAAAACTAAAAAATAGTTGATCTAGGTTGTAATAAAAAAAAAAGAATATTAAATACCTTTGGTAAAAATAGATATATTTAACAAGTTTAGAAAAGCAAATAGTTATATCGTCAAAAGGAGAGTATAAAAATGTACACGATAAAAAATAACAAACACACAAAAAAATCATCAGCCATAGTAGTAAGAATAAAGGCACTGATCTTTTCAATGTTTGCTTCCTTAGCTCACATTATTGTCCAGTCTTCCTTCTAAAAGGCAGGAGCTTTACTAGAGCATATGGAAAAATCCAGTCCTTCCTACCAGCATTAGACAAATTAAATTTAATTCAGAAAAAGACAGTCTGTTTTAACCCAAGTTTATACAACAGAGAACGCTTTGATTTAGAGTACGTAGGAGTAGCTGAACACATAAAGATTTCAGGTGTTTTCAACCAGAGGCCAGATGTACTCGAGCTGTAGAAATGAGACAGCCAGCAGGATCAAGTCTCCATGATGTCAGCCTTCTAAATCTATTTTTTACTCCTAAATTATAAATCCATGTATTGCCAAGAAAATTGTGGGGAACAACAACAATACATATATTTTAAATCCCTCATTGATGCCTTTCTCCCATCCTTTCACTGGGCCTCCAAACAGAGCTGTCACACAACATATAATCCCAGTTTGGATTCTCCTCTTTTTAGAGCTCACTGTAAATCTTCAAGACGGAAGATCCCCAAAGCAAACAACTGAGATTACAGAAGGAGATAATGCACAAGCCCCATAATAGAATCAGCCATTGATTGAATGTGCTTTGAAAGAAAACAGCACAATTATATCATGTTTATCCTTCAGTATTCCTTTTGCACACACAGTCACACTCCTCGTGGTGTTCCAAAGGTACATCTGTCAATGATTTATGCAATCCCCGGACACCAATCCTTGGCTTCAGCTGAAGAACCTGAAGGAGAAAAAGCCAAGCATCAAAAAAACAGCAAGTGCTTCATCACACACCTAGACTGTGAGCTAGACTTCACTGGAAACCCACCGGATGACAGGAAGCATATTAAAACTGAATTTCCTCATTAATTCCACCCACTCGTTACTATTTTTGCTTTTACCTCAAGTCATTTACAAAATTGATTAATCATGTTGAACACAATTGAATCATGTTGCTTTACCAAAGAAGAGTCTTTCAATTTCAGATTTCCACTTAATTTTATTTAAGAGCAAACAGTAGAGTCAATCCAATTAGAAAATTCTATAATAAATAATTTTGGCTATAAATTTATAGCAGTGGAAATGAACAAATATTTGTTTCTTCATGAAGTCGATATCTACCACTAGAGAAAGAAGAATGAAAGGTATGGTTGTGATGTGTCTGAACCGCACCAGTAAATACCTTGGAAATTAATTAATAGATACACCGAAAAGAATATTAATAAGAAAGATTTTACCTTTTTCAATGCAATACCTAAGCAAAATGCTAAAAAATTATTTACTAAAAGTGCGATACATAAAATATTAAAATATTAATGTTGGTGCATTAATTTTATTAAAAATAAATGCCCTGATTGGCTTTCAGTGTTTCCAACATGCAGACATAAAAATAGTGCATGCCTCATGGTATTTTTTGGTGACTTTTGTTGGCACACATTGGCACTCGTTGCAGCTCTGCTGACAACAGGCACAGTTTCCACCACAGCGTTTCACCAGCAGGCACAGCGGCCAGAAGATGGTGTCCGTTCTCTTCAGCTCCTCCCTCAGCGACACCGAGAAGTTGCGCGGGGTGCAGCTGTACAGCCGCGCCTCCTCCTTCAGGAGGTTCAGATCCACCACTGCAAAGAGACAGAGAAAACCGCGCTTGCCTCATCTGCAATCCAAACTCCTTTGTGGCTGATCGACTTCAGCGGCGCAGAACCCATGGGGAAGGTTCACTTTTGTGCCGGTTCAGCACAGAAGTGCAGTACTGCGGTTCCATGAACACCCATGAAACTCATATGGAATGATCGCTGCACAGTGATATTCACCAATTATTGTATAACTCTGGCAAAGTTGGTTACACTTAAAGCAAGATTTGGCTGCTATGTTCCAGTACATGTTTTATCAAATCAACCCTCATGGAAGTCACTTTGTTCACACTAATACTCTGAGTTCTAGTGTTGCTATTCTACGGTCATTTTGGATTGGAGAAACACACACAGAGCAATTAAGAATCCTGCAAAACTTCAGGGACATTTTTAATTCATTTGCAATAAAGCATTCAAACTTCTTGTTACAATTTCAATTATCACTTCTTTGCTAGGGCATTTTAATTATAAGAATGACACCATTCGTATCTAAGCAGAAGTCACTTATATGGACTAAGAACTTCAAGAAGTTTTCATCACCAGGAAATTCTGCATAGAATAAATAACTGTACAAGAGTGTATATCTATATAACTATGAGCAGGTTCCATTTTCTCCTCCCTCTCCATAGCAGCATATATATGAATTTCTGTTTTTTCACTAGCTTTCATTTTCTCTTGATGTGTCTTAAATAAAAATTCCTCCTTGTAACCAAACTAAGTTGAAGTGCAAGTTAAAGATATTAATATTTGGCACCAGTTTCCCTATAAACTGGTTCCACTGTATTATACTAAAGCTTCACTGTGTCAACGGTTGAACAGCAAGTTCATGAAAAGATCTGAAAGACGACAAGCTCCTTTACATTCATCTTAGCTGCACAGTCAAGAGCTAACAAGCCTTGAAAGAAGCAGTTAAAATTGGGAAAACAATGAATAAGACTGGGGGAAAAAAGTGAGAAGCAATGTAAATTGAATTTATTTCAGAAAAGTCAGACTATAATGATCATGATCTAAGATGTTTTGTCTTAAGTGTTTTTTCTCCATGCCTACCATTAAGGAACAGAAGTGATGTCTAATTCACAAGGATACTACTCTCTCTAGTAAAAAACAAAAAAGATAAAGAGCAAATGAAAATCCTATGATAACATGGCTATTGAGATGAGTGAAGCAGGCTGAATAAAGTGCCAAAGATCTTTAACCAACTGGTTTTAAGCTAAATCAAGAGAAAAATAGGGGGAAAAAGAGCCCTAGTGCATTAATATAGCTTAAAAATTACTTTAACGTCATCTATTCATAAATAAACATAAATACAATAAAGCTAAAATAAGTTTGTGATCTGAATCACCCTCTAGAGAAATATCTTTTTTTCCCTCTCTACAATGTAAAGAGCCTCAAGAGGTCATCAAGAAGAACTTCAGCCTATCAAGGCACGATAATTCCTCCTAATTCTATTTAAACACATAAGACATAAAAAAAAATTGGAAGCTGAATTTCTTTAGCAGAAATGCTCACTGGTACTCTCCAAGGAGCAGATCTTTGGGAAGGAATTTCAATCCTTGTTCCTTCAAACATTTCTTTTGCAGGCATATCCACATACTGGCATCCATAAGTAAGGATTTATTGTTGTGAAAGGTCAGTTAAACACACTGAAGCCTTTTCTTTGCTTGCACTCACAGCGAATGCCAAGCTGGGGAACTTCATTCCATCACTATCAGGTTAACATAGGCTGCTAAATAAACAAACTGAATTTTAAGAGGGAGAAGTGTGTAATAACTCCAATAAAGTTACTGATAGGACACCAGTCTGCCTCCCACACTGCAAGAGCATTCCTTGGAGAAAGTTGAGAAGAGAGCAGAGGAAAAGAGAGACAAAACTTCCAGGGGAGAGATTCACTGTGAGGAACCAGAAATTATTTAAGCCCTTCTGATCAGCTAATAGCTCTAGGCTGAGTCACTTAAAAGGTGGATGTGTCTACCTCCATTAATCAAGGACTGTGGACAGGAATGGAGTATTTCTTTCTTCTGTAATGTTTTCAAACATGTAATAATTGAGCTGCCTGAATGAGGATAAAATGCCTGAAGCACACTGTGAGAAGCGCTAGTTCTGCTAATATTTTCTCCTGGAAGATTGTTTCTGCAGAGACTGATATTCTTGGTGCAGCGAATTTGAGGGAGCTAATTTCATCTGCTGCCCAACCCTTCACAATGGGATATTGAAAGTGAAAGTGGGCACTGGCACCTCTTCCAGCAGGCCCACGGAGCAGTGGGAGAGAGATTCTTGTGTGGTGATGACCTTCTCCATTGCCTCCTGCCTTCTGGCAGCAGCAGAGGAATGCATCAATTTCCACACCTACAGCTAGCTTAGTTATAGAGAAAAGGGCAATGCGCTAAAATAAACATGATGTTACTCACTTTGTCACAAAAAAGAAATCAATTTGAACTCAACCCCTCAGACCTGCAGACATTAATTTTAAAAGGGTTCTGCTGGAGAACACACAGCCAGCTCTTAGCAGACATCTTTCAGTATGCTGTACTGTTACAACAGGCTTCAGGAGAGATGAACAAATGTCATGTTTGATTTCCATGCTTTACTAGAATGTACTAAGGTATACCCTGTACATTTGTATACCTTGTATATTGCTATAATACCTCACAATGAACCCTTGCCCTATCTTATGTAATTCAATTTCATTAAAAGGTCTGTGGCAAATTTATCTAGTGCTTATATAATCACTTCTTTGAAGTGTGTGAATGAAGCTGTTATTTTTTCAAAGAGTAGCTGTCTGTTCAAAATTTATTTTAACACACTGTGGGCACGAAACTAGATGAGAGAATGTATATATTCCCTTAAAAGTGTTTACTTAACCACAATAAAAGGTTATGTGGATTTCCCAAGTGCACTGAGTTACAGTACCTGTTATAATGTGAACATTTAAACACTCCTTCAACTTGGCTTCCACTCATGTATCGTGTTTGACACAACAGTCAAGGTTCTTTTGTCTACCACTAGCTCAGGAGGAGTGAAAGGCTCTGCAGTAGCACATAAATGGGAAGCACTAAAATAAAAATAAGTGAAGCAGAAAAAATCTAGATGCAGGTAGGCCTACAGGAAAGTGTATTTCAAGAGTGTGCCGACACCGGCACACGCAACTGAACTAATCCATGTTCACAGCAGCCTGAAACTAAGTGTGTTATGCAATTGGCAATGCAATTTGCTGGCATCTTCTGGATGTGTATCGAGTACCACAGGGAAACTTCTTTCCCGAAACATTTTTCCAGCTGGATACTGTTCTCAAAGTCAATGAAACAAATTAAATTCCAGTTGGGGCTCTTGTGTGTGAGCACAGCAGCAGAATGGTTTTCATTCCCAAGCACTTTGGAGATGTTCCTGGGGATGTAAGTTTCTCACTGGCTTCTACAATAGGAGCTGTTACAAAATCTCAAGCAAGAAGTGGGGTATAAATAAAAAAATAAAATGACATAACTTGTACAAAACCCACAACTGCTAAGGACTACGCTTTGACTGGGACTATTTTTTTCCTCCTTAAAGAGATTTCAGAATATGATCTAAAGATTATACATAGATTTCAGTGGGAAGTGATGGGATAATTTTTTTTTTTGCAGAGCAAAATATATTTATTTTTAAGCATGTTTAATAGTATAAAAGAATTTAGAACTATATTTCGACATCAAAGCCTCTGAACTTGGTTTTTCTTATTTTTTTGACTAGAAGTTTTTGGAAGCATTTTATCCAGAGAAAACATCAGAGACAGAAGTTCTCTGGAATTTAGATTGTCTAAATATAGTTTTTTCATACAAATTATTATGTAGGAGTAGAGGATATTTCTCTACATAAGTAAGATACACTTTTAATAACTTCTTTATGAAAACAGAACAGTAATTTAGCTTTTACACTGCAACACTGTAAAAATGAAACTGATCTAATCATGAATGAAAGAGTCTGAATAAAGCAAAAAATTTTAGGATATGCCCTTCCCACAAACGTCTCTTATAAAGGTTTTGAAATACAGCCAACATGCTTCTTGAGAGAATATCATGGGAAAAAAAATTAAAAAGAAGAAAAATGTTTTGCTTTTCCTATCTATTGAATAGTCCTATGCCATTTCAACTGGACACATTTTCCACCTCAGGCTATTATATTACAGACTCAGTAATGCAGTCTGAGGGTGGTCTCTAAGACAAATGTGGCAATACCATGATATGTTTATTCAGTGAAAAAAACCTATTTCAGCATCTAATTAGAAGCCTTTAAAAGATTTACTTTGATAGTTTCTTTCTAGTATGTGTCTTGCAGGGAGTTTCTTTTGTCAATATAGATGTTATCCAACATCTGCATTTTGTTTTTCTCCCAATTCCTGCGTGCTTATGGCATGCATTTGGCAAATACTAAATCTCTTTAATTAAGGAAGTGTTAAATGACTATCTGAGAGCTTTTAAAGATGTTTCCTCCTCTTTGGCTCATAATTTAGCTGCTCTATGCACAGCTATAGCAATATGGATAGGGTACAAAGGCTGATTTCTGGGCTCTGATCTAAGAATTATCTGTCAAACCCTTAAATTTGAGCTATGCAAGGTTCTACTTCCTTCCCTTTCTTGCTGATCAGATGATAATCTTCTAGTTTATATCCACCAACAGGGAAGTCTGTTCAGTTATGCTCATATGTTTTCATTTTCATGCTGTATGGCAGACAAGGAAGGTGGTATTGCCTTCCTGCTATCCATGTTTATCCATAAACATGAAATAGTGGGTAGATCTGGATGGGATGTGGCAGGAAATTCAGGAGTGTCAGATGTAGAAGGAAGAAAATGAGTTGCTGATCAATAGACCTACAAAATTTGAAAATACAGTATACTTTACTTCTGATGAAGTTGACAACTCCATGATCAACCCAGACATGGACATTCCTTAAGGTGTCATCAAAGAGAAACATTTAGGTATTGCTCTCTATTAATTTCATGTAGAGACTGAAAAAATTTACGGGAAATAAAAAAATCATTCACATGATACAGTAAGTGTAAGACATTACCTACCTCAAATTAAAATAAAGTTTTTGCCCTCCATAAAAAAAGAAACCCACAAATTTCCAATATGTTACCCTATTAAGATGCCCTGCTAATTTAGGGAAATAAAGATCTCCCAGGTTCCCTACAGGAAACTGCTGTGTTTGCCTTTTTTTTTTTTTTAATTCCACATTGCTGCCTTATCCTGCTAAATTCCTTTAAGTTTTGAGTTTAGCTACTGTCCTTTTTCAAACAATACAGTTTTGAGGACAGTGAAGAACAATGGAACCTGCTCTCTTTCTAACATATTCCTCTCTTCGAACCAAAACTCAAGGTGAAGAACGCTCTTAATTCTTTGTCAAGAAATCATACCCGTAGCAAGCTGCAAGGCCAGACAGAAGAGTAAATTACCTCTTGACTTCCTCCCATGAATGTATGCTTTCCCAAGAAGCTGCCACGTTGGCCTGTACAAATCTTCCAAATCCAGCTGCCACCGATCTGGTTCGAGATAGCGGATAAGGTCTTCCACGGTGCTAAACCCAGCGACGGCGTTGTTTAATACATCCAAGGGCAAGGCTGAGGGGGGTAGCAGGGATGGGCTGGGTGCTTCTGTGTGGTGCTGCAATCAAACCCAAGAGAAGAGCACCAGTCAGAGGGTTAATGGATCTGCTCTGACAAAGTGCGGTACTTTACCCAGTTACATAGCTGGGAAAGTTTATAAGTGGATAGCTTGTTTCCAAAGTACAGTTTATCTAATAAGACAAATGACAAGAGTCAAAAAGTACCTAATTATTCTTTAGCAACAACTGTAAACAAACTTCCACTGCAGAGTTTGCCTACTTCTTATATTTCCAGCCTTGCAGCTAGCATGCCACTACACCTGTCCTTTGAAGATGTTCACTGAGTGACGGATGGGACTTTAGATACAGAACAAAGTGTGATTTAAAAATATGGCCCCATTTACAGGCATTTCCCAAACCCCTCTAGAAATCTGAAACATTTCACATTCTGCCTCTCCTCAGAAACTTAGCCACAATCTTTGTCTTCTCGTCCTTCAATGCAAAATATTAACATACCCCAGTACAAAGACAGCAAATATTCTTGCTTTCATCTAATTAAAAAAAAAAAAAAAAAAAAAAGCACCAGTTGTGTTTCATACAGTGCTAAGAATTATGTTTCTGGTTAAACAATAATGACCAATGTAATAACAACATCTGGCAAAACTAAAATTATTTCTCCCTTACAAATAGAAAAAAATGTTCCAAATGAAATCAAAAGTATTTAAACATTGAAATTGAGTCCCGAAAAAGTACTTTACCACAGTACAAATCTCATTGACAAGCTCAGTGAACAGGAGTACTTAGTCACAGACAATTCAAGCAAAGTGAGGCATCTGTTTTTGTTCACTCTACAATCTGTTTTAAAATTATGCATTGATTTGCATTTTCAAAAGAGTAAAAAAATGGCAGGAAGGTAAGCCTAAGTAGGAAGCTGCTTCTGAAGCACCTGCAGTTTAGGCTTCAGGCTTTTCTGTATGCAGACATTACTACAGACATTATGTCCACAGTAATGCACCAGAGCAATTAATCTGGCTCATGTAAGAAGGATGAAGAAAAATTTGAACATGCTGCCAATTTGGGGGATGGAGAGGACAAGACTATGTGTTTATATAGATATCTATATTTAAAAATCCTCATAACACTTAGTGTCAAAATGGCACTGTCAGCATTGTAATGTGAAGTGTGTATATACTATAATTTTTTCCATCCATAATGTCAGATCAATGGTAGGGTAGTCATTTACCTTTTCAAGATGATCAGGGAAATTGATGAGAAATGTAACAGTTATGCTGGAAAAGAAGATTTAGTGCAACACTCAGCAGAAGTTTTCTAAAATATATACTCCTGTGGTAGCTGCATCCCATACCAATAATAATATTTTATTTTCTGTCCTCTAGATTCTATTAAATATATAAAATTTTGGTTTCAGCTAAATGTGCGGTTGAAAGAGCAGCCAAATGGGAATAACCACCATGGCCTTCCTATTTTTTTGCTTGAAGGCTTTCTCTACAACTTCAAGAAATGCAGCCACTAGAAGGATTTGTGCTGCTTTGTAACTGCAAGTCTTGCAAAAATAATACAACACATAGATTAAGTGTTCTGCTACTGTTAATTTTACAATATTTTCATCGTGCTAATCTTTTCAAATAGAGTTGGTGAAACAGTTGTTTCCCATCCTGGATGAATGTGGTTTTCAAAATACTAAAATATTTCTTCTTCTCTTTGCTCCATTGCCTGCATTAAAAATAGTAACATGTTAATCCATCTATTCCATTATGATAATAAAGCAACAGATTCTGGTGTATAGTTTAAATAGTTGCTCTTAGCAAAATATGCTCCTTAGCAAGCTTCAGAACAGTGCTGTGACACTGTAATTCAGATGGTCAAAAAAGTAAACATTCCTAAATTTTTCTTCCTGTTTTTCTCCCCAGTGCTGAAACAGTCACATTTCCTGGTTTGAAGGTGCAGGGTTTTACTAAAGTGAAAAACAAAATCAACGGTAGAACTCATAACTGAAGTAAAAAAAAAAACAAAAAAAAAACTTCTATTTTGTTTTCAGCTGAAGAATTTACTTCAGTGTCTTACTTCTGCTGGGACTTTTGTTGGCAGAGAAACAGGTGGATTCTAGAAGAATATGTATTGATCTACAATCTATTTCCATATTTACAACTTACAACATCCACACTAAATGTTACATATGTAGCAAGTAATCCATCAGTTAATGGTATTCTGGATTCAATACGCATTTGCCTGAGTTAAAATGTTGTGAGGATATGGTGAATCATTGCACTTAATGGTATTAAAATTGCCATCACTTTCTAGTCATTCTCACAGCAGCCCAAAACAGAAAGAAAAAGTATTTGAAACAGCAAAATCATACAGCTTTGAATGTTTTAGAATAAAGTCATTAGATCTCAGGATTAAGAATGTTTTTTTCCAATACTTTTTAATGTTAGTTAATTTATATGACAGTTAAAATGTACCAAAGATTAAAAATGATTGATATCATAGAACTATAAAGGCTGTATATTGAATTTGTGACATAATAACCTTTATGAAATCTCAATTCAATAAACTGTTCAAGATAAATGGTACTTCTAATTATACTTTACATTGTTTTTACTTGCTAGAGGATACTAATTATTTTATAATTTAAATCTTTTGGACAGAACATCCAGGGCAGCCTAAGTGGTAATCCTTCCAGTGACTAAAACTATATATTGGAATTTTATACAATTTATAATTTCACTTGACTTTCTCAAAGTTTGTCATCTATAGGCATAGTTTACTCATACAATAAGGTTTTACTCACAGAGCAGAAAGCAGAAATTACTTGATGCAAGAAATTAAAACTCGACTTCATTGATGTTACACACCTTTTAGAACAAGCAAATGTGAAACTTCAGCATAACTCTGAAAAGTAACATCATAGTTGCAACTCAGAAATGCTGAAATAATTCCTACCTGAAGCTTTCAGTCACTTCATAGTAAGTCTGTCACTCCTGTTGCAATTTAATCTGCATTTCTCTAGGCAGTCCTACCTGGATGCCTCACTCCACCTGCATGGCTGACACTCACTGGTGTTCTCAAGGCACTCCCTGTGCTGTGCCATCACACCAGCAGCCAGTGGGTGTCAGAGAGAGCACTGCCATTTCACAGCAGAATGGGGCTGGGAAAGCCTCCCAGGAGGATCACTGATAATCTCTAGCTGTTTTGCTGCTCAGCATTGACGGAGATAATGATCTGATAATGAAGCAGCCACCTGTCAAGTGGACATTTATTCTATAGATGGCATCACCTAATTTATTCCACAGAAATTTCTCATGTCTCCCCTAACAGGTCATCTAAAAAATAATCAACCTTTGATTTAACATAAATTTATTTATCTGACAGGGGAAATACAACCCAAGATCCAAAATATCTTTTCTGATGGAAACCATTTTCTGAGAAGTGATGATCTCCATACTCTACTATAATAAATACTAATTGACAGTAAACACTTGTTCTGTCATAGCAACACATTCTAAACTCATGCCAATGTTTTAGGTTTGAGATCACCTTTCTTATTTTTTTTTCCCTGAGCATGAATAATTTCTGTCAAGACAGATTTGACAAATGCATCAAGTTCTTTATGCGATTCCTCTAGTAAAAAACATACTGTGATTTGTTTCTGTTTTTCTGACCAGGAAATAATTTCAAATTACTTTAATAAGCATAAATATGATTAGAACCAAGATAGAGGCAAACACTTGCATATTTACTGTTAGTTAAAATGATTCAGGATGAAAACCAGAGCAGAAAACATTGAACTGCTGCTGGCCTGTACAACAGCCAAGAATGACAATTGGTGTTGGATGAAACAGAATTTTCTTCAGGTTTGTTTATATTGTATTTCTGTACATGCACTCAGCTCTATCAAAACAAATACCACACAGAAATCCCCTAAAATGTTTACAAACATGACAGGCCAATAGACCCATTTAGGCAACAGTTAAAGAAATAGGCTTGGGAAAAAGGATGGAAATATGTCACAAAAGACCATCCAGCCCAGGACATCACTCATAACAGTGCCCCAGAAAAAAAGTTAGGGACTAAAATGCATCTTATGGTGCTCACAATGTCAGTTGTGCCCTATTAAAGGAATCAAAATACTCCATCTAGCCTCCTTCTCAAAGGGTTAAAAGAGTAGGACACTATTGTAAGTAGAATAAGAAGTCAACCCTCACTGAAGCAGCAGATCTGAACAAAAACTTCAACAAACAATTTCAAAATTATCTGGTTGAAGTTAAAGTCTAAAGTATTATTTAGTATACAGCCTAACTTGAAGACTTATGATTAATTTCTTGTTCTGACACATATTTCTTGTGTTATCCTGAGCACAGTATTTGGGTCAAACCTTCATAATGTAAAGCATCTGGAGGTAGTATCTCCTTGCTATGCCAGCACGACTGTGTATGTGGCTGAATAATAAATAAGAGGCAAACTTCTGAAAAAGAAGAATAGACCTGCAACAGCAAAGCCATCACAGCTGAAAGCACAGCAGTTGCTCACACAAATACAGTTTTAGATTCACTCTGGCACCAGGAATTTCACAGGTTTGTAACACAGCCTTAACAAATCTGTAAAATGAGCATAAAGGCAATTCTTTGATCTCACAGATTTTGTGAGAGAATGAATACAACCAATTTTTGTTAGATACTCATTACTGGTTTACCTAAAGAATACAGAAGTGTGTTAGACAGATTCTAGGTATAAATTTGGATATGAGATTGGATATTATAGCCTTTCCTGTTTGTCACTATCCATTTGTTCTTTCCTTGCACAGTAGCTGCTCCAAGGATAAACAACTCAGAAAATAACAGCACTGACCTACAATCTACACAACATCAGCTCTTAATAGCTCTATTATGACCTAAGAAAAGCCTTGATTTTGCTCCTGTTTCTCAGGATAAGAGTACTAACACCCTAAAGGTACTAACAGTACCCTCTTCCAGTTAAAGAAGGCAAAAAATAGAAATGTTAGGCTGCTGCCGCCAGGAGTAAGGAATTTCATGTTTAA